TTTAAAGTCATATAGTTAGTGGTGGAGCCAAAATTCAAACCCAGACTTCTTTTTTATATTGTGGTAAAATGTATGTAACAATATTATTTTAACCATTCGTAAGTGTACAATTCAGTGCCTTTAAATACATTCATAATGTGTAGCTGTCACCACTATCTACACCCCAGACTTTTTCATCATTTCCAACAAAAACTCTGTACCTATTAAATAACTCTTCCTTTCCACTTTCCCTCAGATACTGATAACCTGTCTTATACTTTCTGTCCCTATTAATCTGCATATTCTAGGTATTTCATAGAAGTAGAATGACAAAATATTGTCCTTCTGTGTATCACTTATTTCGCTAAGCATAATGATTTCAAGATCCATACATGTTATAGCATATATTAAAATACTATTCTTTCTTATGACTGAATAATATTCCATTGTATGTATCATATTTTGTTTATCCATTTGTCTGTTGTTAGACACTTAGGTTGTTTTTGCCTTTGGATATTGTAAATAATGAACATTGGGGTACACATATCTGTTCAAGTACCTGCTTTCAATTCTTTTGGCTGTATACCTAGGAGTGGAATTGTAGGGTCATATAATAGTTCTATGTTTAACCTTGGAAAAACTAACAAACTTTTTTTCAAAGTGGTTTCACCATTTTACATTCTCACTAGCAAGTGTGAGAATTAATTTCCCCTTACCCTAACCCACATTAATTTAAAAATTTAAAATTATGGCCATCCTGGGAGTGGAGGTAAAGTGGTATTTTGTTGTGGTTTTGCTTTCCATTTTCCTGATGACTAATGATGTCGAGCGTGGTTTCATGTGACTATTGACCGTTTGTATACTTCCTTTGGAAAGATGTCTTCAAGTTCTTTGTCCATTTTTTAATCAGTTTTTTTTTGTTGTTGTAGAGTTTTAGGAATTCCTTATATTCTGGATATTAATCCCTTAGCAAATATTTGATTTGCAAATAGTTTCTAGTAAATTAGTAGATTTCATTCTCTTAATAGTGTGTTTTGATGGGTAAAAATTTTAATTTATCTATTTTTTCTTTTTTTGCTTGTGCTTTTGGTGTCAGATCTATGAAGTTGTTACCAATCCAATGTCATGAAGATTTTCTCTAATGTTTTATTCTAAGAGTTTCATAGGTTCAGCTGTTAAGTTTAGGTCTCTGATCCATTTTGAGTTAATTTTTGTATATGGTGTAATGTCCAACTCATTTTTTGGCATGTGGATGTCCAGTGTTCCCAGCAACATTTGTTGAAAATACTGTCATTTTCCCATTGAATGATCTTGGTATCCCTTTAAAAAATCAACTAAAACCAGATGTGGCAGCTCACAGCTGTAATCCCAGCATTTTGAGTGGCTGAGAGGGAGGATTGCTTGAGCCTGGGAGGTTGAAGCTGCGGTGAGCCATGTTGCACTCTAACCTGAGCAGCTGTGCAAGACCCTGTATCCTCCTAAAAATTAATTGATCAGAGATGTGGCAGTTTATTTTTGGACTCTCTATTCTTTTTTAAAAAATTTTTTTAGGCCGGGCGCGGTGGCTCAAGCCTGTAATCCCAGCACTTTGGGAGGCCGAGGCGGGTGGATCACGAGGTCAGGAGATGGAGACTATCCTGGCTAACATGGTGAAACCCCGTCTCTACTAAAAATACAAAAAACTAGCCGGGCGTGGTGGCGGGCGCCTGTAGTCTCAGCTACTTGGGAGGCTGAGGCGGGAGAATGGCGTGAACCCGGGAGGCGGAGCTTGCAGTGAGCCGAGATCACGCCACTGCACTCCAGCCTGGGAGACACAGCGAGACTCTGTCTCAAAAAAAAAAAAAAAAAAAATTTTATTATTATACTTTAAATTCTAGGGTACATGTGCACAACGTGCAGGTTTGTTACATATGTACACATGTGCCATGTTGGTGTACTGCACCCATTAACTCATCATTTACATTGGGTATATCTCCTAATGCTATCCCTCCCCCCTCCCCACAATAGGCCCCTGTGTGTGATGTTTTCCTTCCTGTGTCAAAGTGATCTCATTGTTCAATTCCCACCTATGAGTGAGAACATGCGGTGTTTGTTTTTCTGTTCTTGTGATAGTTTGCTGAGAATGATGGTTTCCAGCTGCATCCATGTCCCTACAAAGACACGAAGTCATCCTTTTTTATGGTTGCATAGTATTCCATGGTGTATATGTGCCACATTTTCTTAAACCAGTCTGTCACTGATGGACATTTGGGTTGATTCCAAGTCTTTGCTATTGTGAATAGTGCTGCAATAAACATACGTGTGCATGTGTCTTTATAGCAGCATGATTTATAATCCTTTGGGTATATACCCAGTAATGGGATGGCTGGGTCAAATGGTATTTCTAGTTCTAGATCCTTGAGGAATCGCCACACTGTTTTCCACAATGGTTGAACTAGTTTACAGTCCCACCAACAGTGTAAAAGTGTTCCTATTTCTCCACATCCTCTCCAGCACCTGTTGTTTCCTGATTTTTTAATGATTGCCATCCTAACTGGCAAGGACTTCGTGTCTAAAACATCAAAAGCAATGGCAACAAAAGCCAAAATTGACAAATGGGATCTCATTAAACTAAAGAGCTTCTGCACAGCAAAAGAAACTACCATCAGAGTGAACAGGCAACCTACAGTATGGGAGCAAATTTTTGCAATCTACTCATCTGACAAAGGGCTAATATCCAGAGCCTACAAAGAACTCAAACAAATTTACAAGAATAAAACCCCATCAAAAAGTGGGCAAAGGATATGAACAGACACTTCTCAAAAGAAGACATTCATACAGCCAACAGACACATGAAAAAAATGCTCATCATCACTCACCATCAGAGAAATGCAAATCAAAACCACAATGAGATACCATCTCACACCAGTTAGAATGGACTCTCTATTCTATTCTATTGGTCTGTATGCCTGCCCTTATGCCAGTAACATCATGTTTTAATTATTGTAGCTTTGTAGTAAGTTTAGAAGTCGAGAATTGTGAGCCCCCCATCTATGATCTTTTTCAAGATATTTTTTGGTTATTCAGGCCCCCTTGAAATTTGATGTGAATTCGAGGATAAGCTTTTACAGTTCTGCAAAAAATATTCTTGAGATTTTCATAGAGATTTAAGTGAATCTGTGTATCACTTTGGATAGTACTAGTATCCTCCAAATGTCAAGTCTTCCTATTCATGAACATGCATGTCTATTTCTGTAATGGAATTTAAAGACTTAAAAATAAAATCTATTTTTTCAGCATTATTTCGTAGTTTTCATTGTATAAGACTTTCACTTTCTTGATTAGATTTATTCCTAAGTATTTTAATTTTTTAGATGCTATTATAAATAGACATGCTTTCCAATTTTCTTTTTGGATTATTCATTGCTGCTGTATAGAAACATGATTGATTTTTCCATGTTCATATTGTTCCCTGCAACTATGTTGAATTTATTAGCTTGACTAGCTTTTTTGTGTGTGGATTCTTTGGGATTTTCTATATATTTAATTATGTCATATGTGAATAGACATTGTTTTGCTTTTTCCTTCCCAATTTGGATACTTTCATATCTTTTTCTTGCCTAATAGTTCTGTCTAGAACTTTCAACACTATTTTGAATAGCGGGGGTAAAAGCAGGCATCCTTGTTTTGTTTCTGATTGTAGAGATAATTCTTTCAGTCTTTCACCATTTAGGATGATGTTAACTGTGGGTTTTTCATGATACTCTTCATCATGTTGAGAATTTGGATATTTAGATTCATGTTTTTCTTTAAATTTTGGAAGTTTTCAGCCATTATTTTTTCAAATATTCATATTTCCTCTTTCTCATTTTAGGATTCTCACAATGCATATATTTATCCACTCAGTGGTATCCCACAAATCTCTTAAGTGCTTCATACTCTGCCATCTTCCCTGCCATTATCCTCCAAACCAGACTTCTCAAATGTGGGCACCTATTCTCTCTCTTTTTTCCTTTTATACACACACACACACACACACACACACACACACACACACATTATTTTTTTAGAATATGAAAGTTATATATTTTCATTTTAAAAATATTAATACCTGAATGTGGGAAGTAAGTTCATTTACCCCCAAATAAGCAGTTTGTGAAAATTTATATATATATATTTTTGCATGTCCTATTTTAAAACAAAAGTGGAATAACACTACATACATTTTTAAGTAACTGCCCTTTTTTGCCCAATTTTAAGCACATGTTGTATAGCATTGAAAATTAAGTCAGTTTTTTTTTTTTATGGAGTGATACTAATATGACTGGCTACTACAATTTTTTGTTTTTAATTGTACAATTCACTGGTTTATAGTATATTTACAGAGTCATGCAACCATCACCACCATTGTTTTAGTCTGTTTTATGCTGATATAACAGAATACCATAGAATGCATAATTTATAAGGAACAGAAATATATTTCTCACATTCTGGAGGCTGGGAAGTCCAAGATCAAGAGAGCTGCATATGTTGAGGTCTTGCTGCACCCTCACACAGTAAAAGGAGAAAGGGCAAGAGAGAATGAAACTTTTTTTAGTGGCAAAAAATTTTTTTAGTGGCATTGATTTATTCATGATGCCTCCCATTAGGCCTCACCTCCCAACATTGCTGCATTGGGGATTAAGTTTCCAATACATGAATTTTGGAGGGACACATAATCAATTTTAGAATATTGTCTTCACCTCCCCCGTAAAACCTACATCCATAAACATGTATTCCCCTTTTTCCTCCAACCTCTATAGCCCTACTCAAACACTGATATACTTTCCTTCTCTATGGAACTAATATACTTTCCTTCTTTATAGGCATTGTAAATAAATTTAATCATATAATACATAGTCTTTTGTGACTCATTTCTTTCATATATAATAATTGTTTAAATCTCATTCATGTTATAATATGTATCAGTACTCCATTCCTTTTTGTAGCTGAATAATATTCTATTCTAACTATATACCTTTGTTTTTTTGTATTTTTAATAGAGACGGGGTTTCACCGTGTTAGCCAGGATGGTCTCCATCTCCTGACCTCGTGATCTGCCCACCTCAGCCTCTCAAAGTGCTGGGATTACAGGTGTGAGCCACCGCGCCCAACTACTTTGTTTATTTTCACATTGGGTTATTCATCTTTTATTACTGTGTCATAAGAATTCTTTGTATATTCTAGATACAAGTCCTTCATCAGACTTGATCAAATCTACAAGTATTTTCTTCCATTTTTTTGTCTTTTCTCTTTTTTGATAATGCTCTCTGATGCACAAAGGTTTTAAATTCTAATTAATATTTATCTATATTTTCTTTGCTTGTGTTTTGAGTGTTATATATAAGGAACCATTTCATAATTCAAAGTAATGGAGATTTACTCCTATGGTTTTTACTAAGACTTTTTATAGTTTAAGGTCTTATATTTAGGTTTATGGTCCATTTTAAGTTTTTATATGCAGTATGAGATAGCAGTCCAACTTCACTTTCTTGCACATGCATATCTAGTTGTTCCACCACTATTTGTTGAAAAGTCTGTTGTTTTCCTCATTGATTTGTCTTAGCACCCTTGTTGAAAATCAATTTACCATAAATATAATGTTTTATTTCTGCACTCTCAATTCTGTTCTATTGATTTTTATATGCCTATCTTTATGTTAATGTAACATTGTCTTTATTAGCTTTAAAATTTTTTTCATTCATTTTATTCCACTTTGCACACATAATATTTTCAGAATAATAATGCTAACACTACCACCTACTATATAATTACTAAAAAGAGTTTAAGAGGTTTTTTTTTTTTTTTTTTTTTTTTTTTTTTGAGACTGAGTTTCACTCTTGTTGCCCAGGATGGAGTGCAATCTCCAGATGGGATATCGGCTCACTGCAACCTCTGCCTCCCAGATTCAGTCGATCTTGCCTCAGCCTCCCGTGTAGCTGGGGTTATAGGCATATGTCACCATGCCCAGCTAATTTTGTATATTTTAGTAGAGACAAGGTTTCACCATGTAGACCAGGCTGGTCTCCAACTCCTGACCTCAGGTGATTCGCCCACCTTGGCCTCTCAAAATGCTGGGATTACAGGCATGAGCCACATTGAGAAGAAGAGAGTATCATACAAAGATGTGATGTTAGAATAAGAGTAAGAAAAATACAAGGGAAGTGACTTGATTCATTGGCTTTAAAGATGGATAAAGGAGATGATATACCAAAGAATGTGGGCAGACTTTAGAGCTAGAGAAGGCAAAGAGACAGATTTTTCCCTTAGGGACTCAATACCACCCTGCTGATACGTTGATTTCAGTCCAATAATACCCATGTCAGACTTACGACTTACAGATCTGTAAGATAATAATTTGGGGGGATTTTTTATTTTTGTTTTTACTTCAATAGTTTCTGGGGGAATTGGTGGTTTTTGGTTACATGGATAAGTTCTTTACTGATGATTTCTGAGATTTTGGTGCACTCCTTACTTGAGCAGTGTACACTGTACCCAGTGCATAGTCTTTTATTCCTCAGCATCTCCCCACCATTCCTCCCGAGTCCCCAAAGTTCACTACCTCATTCTTATGCCATTGCATCTTCATAGCTTAGATCCCACTTATAAGTGAGAAGATACAATATTTGTTTTTTTATTCCTGAGTTATTTCACTTGAAATAATGGTCTCCAACTCCATCCAAGTTGCTGCAAATGCAATTATTTCATTTTTTTTTTTTTACAGTTGAGTAGTACTCCATAGTATATATACACCACATTTTCTTTCTTTTTTCTTTTCTTCTTCTTCTTGTTTTTTAAATTATTTTTATTTATTTTTTATTTTTTATTTTTGAGACAGAGTCTTGCTCTGTCTCCCAGGCTGGTGTGCAGTGGTGTGATCTCGGCTCACTGCAACCTCCGCCTCCCAGGTTCATGCCATTCTCCTGCCTTAGCCTCCTGAGTAGCTGGGACTACAGGCACCCGCCACCATGCCTTGGTAATTTTTTTTGTATTTTTTTTTTTTTTTTTAGTAGAGACGGGGTTTCACTGTGTTAGCCAGGATGGTCTTGATCTCCTGACCTTGCGATCCACCCGCCTCGCTATACCACATTTTCTTTATCCATTCGTTGATCGATGGGCATTTGGGCTGGTTCCATATTTTTGCAATTATGAATTGTGCTACTATAAACATGTGTGTGCAAGTGTCTTTTTCATATAATGACTTTTCTCCCTTTGGACAGATAATCAGTAATGGAATTGCAGGATTGAATTGCAGATCTACTTTTAGTTCTTTAAGGTATCTCCACACTGTTTTCCACAGTGATTGCACTAGTTTACATTCCCACAAGCAGGGCAACAGTGTTCCCTTTTCACCTTATCTGCGCCAACATCTATTATTTTTTTATTTTTTGATTATGGCCATTCTTGCAGTAGTGAGGTGGTATCCCATTGTGGTTTTAATTTGCATTTCCCTGATAGTTAGTGATGTTGAGAATTTTTTCATATGTTTGTTGGCCAATTGTATATCTTTTTTTGATAGTTTTCTTTTCATGTCCTTAGCCCATTTTTTGATGGGATCATTTTTTTTTTCTTGCCAATTTGTTCGAATTCCTTGTAGATTCTGGATAATAGTCCTTTGTCAAATGCATAGTTTGTGAAGATTTTCTCCCACTCTGTGGGTTGTCTGTTTACTCTGCTGATGATTTCTTTTGCTGTGCAGAGATTTTTACTTTAATTAAGCCACATATATTTATTTTTGTTTTTGTTGCATTTGCTTTTGGGTTCTTGGTCACTAAGTCTTTGCCTAATCCAATATCTAGAAGAGGTTTTCTGATTTTATCTTCTAGAATTTTTATGATTTCAGTTCTTAGATACAAGTCTTTGATCCATCTCGAGTTGATTTTTGTATAAGTGAGAGATGAGGATTCAGTTTCATTCTACATGTGGTTTGCTAATTATGTCAGCACCATTTGTTGAATAGGGTGTCCTTTCCCCACTTTATCTTTTTGTTTGCTTTGTCAAAGATCAGTTGTCTGTAAGTATTTGGCTTCATTTCTGGGTTCTCTATTCTGTTCCATTTATCTATGTGCCTATTTTTATCATGCTCTTTTGGTAACTATAGTCTTGTAATATAGTTTGAAGTCAGTTAATGTGATGCCTCCAGATTTGTTCTTTTTGCTTATTATTGCTTTGGCTATGTGGGGTCTTTTTTGGTTCCATATGAATTTTAGAATTTTTTTTCTAGTTATATGAAGAATGATTATGGTATTTTGATGGGAAATGCATTGAATTTGTAGATTGCTCTTAAGATTCTTTACTTTGTCTTGACTTTATATAACTTGATGATTATGTGCCTCAGTGATGATCCTTTTGCGATGTATTTCCCAGGAGTTCTTTGAACTTCTTGTATTTGGATGTCTAGATCTCTAGCAAGGCCAGGGAACTTTTCTTCAATTATTCCCTCAAATAAGTTTTCTAAACTTTTAGATTTATCTTCTTTCTCAGGAATGCCAATTATTTTTAGGTTTGGTTGTTTAACATAATCCCAAATTTCTTGGATACTTTGTTCATTTTTTTGTTTTTGTCTCATTAATTTAATTTGAAAGTTTTTTCTTCAGGCTCTGAAGTTCTTTCTTCTACTTTTTCTAGGCTATTGTTGAAACTTTTTCTGGTATTTTGTATTTCTCAAAGTGTGTCTTTTATTTCCCAAAATTGTAATTTTTAAAAATGTTATCTGTTTCTTCTTTGGAATTTTTTTTAATCATATCCTGTTTTTTTTTTGTTGTTTTTTTTTTTGTTTTTTTTTTAGTTTTCTTTAAGTTGATTTTAACCTTTCTCTGATATCTCCTTGAGTAGCTTAATAATTAACTTTCAAAGTTCTTTATCTGACAATTTAGAGATTTCTTCTTTGTTTGGATCCATTGCTGGTGGGCCAGTGAGATCTTTTTGGTGTCTTACAGAACCCTGTTTTGTCATATTATCAGAATTTCTTTCCTGGTTTCTTCTTATTTGAGTAGACTATTTCTTCAAATTGTAATTTATTTTTGATTGGAGTGTTTTTTTTTTCTAATTTAAATGTTTTCCCCTCTTAAGTACCAGACTTTAATTTTTTTTTTTTTTTTTTTTTTTTTTTTTTTTTTGCCGAATTTGATTCTTGGTTCCTTAGTTATAGAATGTCTTTGTGCACTGGATTTCCCTGATGCTGCTTGTAGTAGTTACATTCTTGGTGTATGGCTGAGTTCACTGTCTCCTATGGAGCTGATTGGCAGGGATATCTTGAAGGTTATCTCATTCTTTCATGATGTACATTTTATTTATTTAGTTAGTTATTTTCCAGTGTTTTATTTACTAAGTTGATGATTCAGGCTTCAGGCCTATAGGCGCAGTATCCCTGGGTAGGCACCAGTTGTTCATCGATGTTCATCAGGGATATTGGTCTAAAATTCTCTTTTTTTGTTGTGTCTCTGTGAGGCTTTGGTATCAGGATGATGCTGGCCTCATAAAATGAGTTAGGGAAGATTCCCTTTTTTTCTGTCGATTGGAATAGTTTCAGAAGGAATGGTACCAGCTCCTCCTTGTACCTCTGTTAGAATTTGTCTGTGAATCCGTCTGGTCCTGGACTTTTTTTTGGTTGGTAAGCTATCAATTATTGCCTCAATTTCAGAGCCTGTTATTGGTCTATTCAGGGATTCAACTTCTTCCTGGTTTAGTCTTGGGAGGGTGTATGTGTCCAGGAATTTATCCATTTCTTCTAGATTTTCTAGTTTATTTGCATAGAGGTGTTTATAGTATTCTCTGATGGTAGTTTGTATTTCTGTGGGATTGGTGGTGATAACCCCTTTATCATTTTTTATTGCATCTATCTGATTCTTCTCTCTTTTATTCTGTATTAGTCTTGCTAGTGATGTATCAATTTTGTTTATCTTTTCAAAAAACCAGCTTCTGGATTCATTGATTTTTTTGAAGGGTTTTTTGTGTCTCTATCTCCTTCAGTTCTGCTCTGATCTTAGTTATTTCTTGCCTTCTGCTAGCTTTTGAATGTGTTTGCACTTGCTTCTCTAGTTCTTTTAATTGTGATGT